AACTGGTCCCCCCGGGTTTGGGGGGGGGGGCAGCCGGGGTCCCTCCATAGCTGATTGCTGAGCTGGGGGGGTGCAGAAGGGCCCCCTGTGCATTCTGCAGTGGACCTGGAAGTGGATAGGTCACACTCAGAAATGGAGAGGCTTCGAGCAAGTCATCCTTTTAGATACCACGTTAAAGTGCTATCAAGAACCAGGGAATGCCCCAAAACATGAAGTACTTCCGATCCACTTCTGGGTTTGCAGCCAAGCATGTGGGGGGCTCCCCTGCACTCCTGTGGGGTGCTCCATCTGCCCCACCATTGCAGCATTCACGAGCTATGCCTGGTACCTTGAGGTATGTAGAAAAAACATTTAAAGCTGTGTCCATGGCTGAATTGAATCACTGTCCCTGATTTGGGCCGAATCCGAATCCAAATAAAATACGGCCCGTTTCACACACCCCTATAAAGCATCACTTCAGAACTGTGCTTTTTAAGTTAATGAGCATTAAAACAGGCTAATACACATTTTTCTAGTACCTCAAAATGAAGGTTGTATATTTAATGCACATTAACTAAAGTACAATAATGCACATGTAGATGCACCCACAGATTATGGCACCCTATCTATTCTATCTAAATCAATTGAAGTCAGTTGAAGTTATTCCATTGACTTCAGTGTCCTCTGGATTCATCCAGTAGGGAGCAGAATCCTCAGTGCTCTGCAAGTCTGCCTACAAGTTCTGGCAGTGTTTTGGGGCATGCCCTGGTTCTTGATAGCACTTTAATGTGGTATCTAAAAGGATGACTTGCTTGAAGCCCCTCCATTTCTGAGTGTGACCTATGAAGTGGATGTCACAATGGATGTCATGTTACATGAAGTGGTATGAAATGATGGAATGAAAAAGGCTTATATTGGATTATGCATGACTTAAAAAAATCTTGTACAGGAATTTTCTTCCTTGTGTTTTTTGACATTTTATTTTATATGTAGTTTACAATTTTATTAAAAGATTATAAGCAACAAAGCAATAAAGAAACAGAAAGGGCCCACACACAGAATAAATGTAGCAATACTCTGTAAACTTTCAAAAGAAGAGCTACATTGAAAAGCCACCACAGTATAACAGTAAGTATGGACTTAAAAAACAATTGACATATGAACTGAATTCAGACAGGCCGATATCTGCAATTAAGCTCTCTGATCTGTGCAAAGATGGGGGGAAAACAAGATTAATAAGGACAAAATAATCAAGCACAATAAACACCAGTTACATGAAAGACACTCAATTACCGGTGGGGGCACATTTCTCACAGGAGGGCCACTCTCTCTCCAATCTCTCAGTCCTGATCCTCAAGGGAAATTTACACAACACTTCCCAGAGACGAGCCTATGAGCTCCATTTCATCAACCTGCTGGATACTAGAGATCAGGGACTAAACATAGACATTGGATTTTTGATACATTATAATCTGCCTGGCAACTGACTCCCCAGCCCAGCCCAGCCCCTGGCTTCTTCACTTTTCATTCCATCCAGGAAGAGCACACACCAACTGCTGCAGCTTCCTGAGCCTGACGAAGGGTTTTTGAACCCAAAAGCTTGCTTAATAACTATTCTCCAACCATTTGGGTTGGTCTAATAAAAGATATCAAATTCACCCAAGGAACCTTGTCTGCCTATATCCTTAGACCAACAAAGGACTAGCTATAGAGTTTTGACTATCTAGGTAGAACATGGGACTGCAAAGCACTCAAAATGCCTCAGAGGTATGAGCTTTTGTAGGCAACAACCTACTTCATCAGATAGGCACAAGGGTATTCCTAGCATCGGATTAGGTAGGTTATTGCTTACAAAATTCATGCCTCTCTCAATCAGTTTGTTTCTAAAGTGCCACCTTGTCTTATCTTCTGCCTAACTTCAGACTAGTGATTTTCAACCACGGTACTACAAAGTCCTTTGATGGATGCTGCAGGTGTGAGAAAATAAGCAAATAAGGGCAGGATCAGGCTTCAGGTGTGAAGAGAAAAGTAGATAAGGGCAGGCTCAGGGCCCTTCTATTTCACCACTTCCTAGCCTGTGCTCTTGGTCCCTCTGCAAGGAGGTAAGCTGTGATAAGCTAGTTATTGAAAGGGGGTGCTGCTCAGTTCACAAAGGTTAAGGAGGGGACCTAAAAAAGGTTGAAAGCTGTTGCTTTAGACTAATGCATGTTGCTGTTTCTGATGATCTGAGATAAGGTTTTGACCCTGGTTTGTAGGCATCACGCAAGGCTTATTTATACTGTTACATATCAGGGTTTTCTTTGACAATAAGGCTGTGGAACAGTCCATAGCATACACACAGATATGGCCTAAGTTCTTAGAACAGTGATTCTCAAACAGGGTATTGCAGCAGCCCAGGGTGCTTTGAGATGCTTTCAAGGTTGCTGTGAAGTACCATGCAATGTTAGCACTACTAGATGTGCAATTATGCTTCACAATATGAACACAGAGACTTCAAACAAAAATCCAAAGTGTTAAAGACGTCTGACCTGTTGCAAGACTTTTTTTTTTTTTTCAAACAAAAATCCAAAGTGTTAAAGAAGTCTGACCTGTTGCAAGATTTCTGAGCCCTTTACAGTAGACAAATAGTCTTTTTCTATAGTCAAAAAACAAGTGAAAACTAAGAGCTGGCACTTTCTGACAAGTGCCTGGAGTCTAATGAAGGGCACTGTTTAAAAAATGAATAAATAAATAAAAAGGTTGAGTGCTGCCTTAAATTATTAGAGATTTAAGGAAACTAGCATTTTTCTGTCTAACAAGCCTATTTCTACAGGCACACTGCTTAAATAAGCTCAGCTTTTTGCTTTGAACAGGTTATACTAAAAAACAAAAACAAAACAAACCTGATTCTGCAGGTGTTGCCCCTCTATCAGTAAAGGGCACCAAGTGGCTACCTCAAAATGAGAAAGTTCTTGGGTGCTGGCACCTTTCTCCTCCTGCTGTGAACCCTTTGTTGCAAGGTCTATGAAAACAGAGAGGGCCAACCATGTAAGAGATGTTCCTGGGGCTGCACACAAGACCTACAGGAGGAGGAGGAGAATCTACAAGAAG